TTTTCAGTGAATAATATTCCATCATAGCTAGACACCGCATTTTCCTTATCCATTCATCCATCAACAAACACCTAGGTTGTTTGTGTATCTTGGCTATTGCAAACAATACTGCAATGAATATGGGGATGCAGACATTGAGATGCTGATTTCATTTCTTTTATATAGATATGCCTAGAAGTGAGACCACTTCTTAATTTTTTGACGAACCTCCCTACTGTTTTCCATGGTGCTCCACTAATTTACACCTCACCAACAGTGTACACAGGTTCCAGTTTCTCCATATGCTCGCCAGCATCTATTATCTTCTGTCTTTTTGATAATGACCATTGTAACAGGTAAGGTGCTATGTCATTGTAGTTTTAAATTGCCCTTCGTGATGACTAGTGATGTTGCACACCTTTTTATATACATGTTGACCATTTGTAAGTCTTGTCTGGGAAAATGTCTATCGGACCCCTTGTCCATTTTGTAAATCAAGTGTATTGCTTTTCTTAAGCTGCTAGGTTGTTTGAGTTTCTTATATATTTCCAATATTAACTTCATGTAGGATACATGGCTTCCTGGGCTTGCCTTCCTCCTCCTTTCATCAAAATCCAAATGTCTTTCAAACTTTGGCTAAAATGGCTCCTTGATAAAAGCTTCCACTGGGAATCATCTGCCCTTTCTCTGCCACATCCCAGAGGCCGGGAAACAGAATCCAGATCCACCTCCACTTGCCTTCTCTGTGTTGCTGAGCACAAGTCCCCACTTGTGCTCAGATAAATTCTGTTTGAAATGAGGGAAAGTAAACATAAAGCTGCAGCCTGGAGTAGAGATGAGGAGTGCCAGGACATTGTCTACTTAGGAAACAGCTTTATGTTGCAACTTTGGTAAAATTCAAAACAGGAAACCCTCCCAATTTGAATTCCAAATCCAACGGAATTCATAGGGAAGGAATTCTACCGGCCCCTCCAAGAAACATGAATCTTCCAGACACAATGAGAGGCTAGCTATCTTGTCCAACACCCCAGATTCTCAGCATCTCCTGAGTAAAGAGAAAATGAGTTTCAAGGGAACAACAGAGGTAGCTACTGTCCCAATGGTGTCTGCAAGGCTGAAGGCGTACGTGGCTTTCAAGCATAATTTAAATGAACCTGAAGAAAGTCTAAGTGTTGCCAGTGACAAGTTGCAAAAGGTAAAACCTCATTGTGCACTGCCCACAACACACACCAAGGCAGGCTGGCCGGCAATGGGCATCAGAGACAAGAACTGGACCTCATAGCCACATGGCTATATTTAATGATAGGGTAACTTTGGACAAATCACTTAACCTTTCTGGGCCTCAGGTTTCACCTATCCAAAAAGAGAGCCATAGAAGTTAATGTTAAGTTCTTACTACACCCTAGACACTCTGCCAATTGCTGTCCATGCCGTATGCAACCAGATTGAATGAGTTCACGTGTTTAAAGCTCCCACTTCAGAATGCAACACAGGATAAACATTGAAAACAATAAATGATGGTTCTTGTTACTGTGAAGAAAGATGTTATCCCTACAGCCCGTTCAGATGGACTGACAGATTTTTCGTTTCTCACAGCTCAAGCACTGGCTTTGTCCCCCCACCTCCCACCCAACCCCTCAACCCCCACCCCCCACCCCCCACTGGATGGGGGCTTGGCTGCACTTCTAAAGATTCTCAGCCTCCCTGTCTCTGATCTTCCAAATGTGCGTAACAATCCCTGCTTCACAAGGTCGTTGGGACCAGACACCCAGGTGGGATGTGGAGCTGAAAGGCCTTGAAACGTAATGTATTTTGTGCATGAATAAGAGTATTCTGATTATCCCCCCCACCACTGTGTTATCTTCTGCTCCCATTCCCACAGTAAATGACCATGACTGAATGTTTAAGGGAAGAGAAGATGTATATCAAGCCTCCCCATGGGCAAGTACAGAGGACAAGCTATAACTCCATGCTATGCCATCCCAGAGGTCTAAGCCTTGTACCCTTCAAATTTAGAGGCCACTAATAAGCCACACCCTGGTAAGGTCAACAGAGCAATAAATGGGCCAATGCATTTGACCAATCTCTCTGTCCTCCCCACACCTGTCGCACCACTCTGGCTGCAAGGAGAGATGGTCTACTTAGAAGGTAGTTGCGATGACAATGAATGGCATTGGTGGGGTGGAAGAGGGGTGATTAGAAAGGAAATCATGGATTTTGGAGAGGCACAAGAAATGTTTACTTCTAGCCCCTGCTTAAGTGTGCTTCCCCTGAAATGTTTCCTGACCATGCTGTCTGAAATATCCCACCTTTCCTCATGACTTTCTACCTCTGTGCCTCAGTTTCCCTTTATAAAATGAAGATAACAATTATACCTCTTTTAGGTTGATGATATGGATTAAACACATTATACAGGTAAATGTTTGCAACAGGTATGGTGCGTGGGGTTTCACAAATGTTAGCTTTCATCAATAGTCTTAGTATTACTATTTCCATCTAATCACTATTTTACTCTAGCAGGTATGTTATTCTGAAAGCATTATCTTGGCTTCTGACTTCTTTTATGTGGTTGTTACCTGACTTCCCCACTAGGTCTCAACCTTTATAAGAAGGAGCCTAGACTCTCTCTGCACTAAATGCTTAATAAATATCAGTAGGTTGGATAAATGAATGATTTAATGACTCAATGAATGAAAAGGCAACCCCCACACTCACAGGACTCATCTCTCAAATCCCAACAACATATTTGTAGAACACAGTTTCTTTTTTTTTTTTTTTTTAAGATTTTATTTATTTATTTGACATAGAGAGAGGGCTTGAGAGAGGGGGAGAGAGAGCACAGTAGGGAGCGGGGCAGAGGGAGAAGCAGGCTTCCCACTGGTCAAGGAGCCCCTGCAGGGCCCAACCCAGGACCCTGGAATCAAGACCTTAGTGGAAGGCAGATGCCCAACTGATTGAGCCACCCAGGTGCCCCTAGAACATAGTTTCTTATATAAAGTTTAGACATGAAGAAATAGGGACACTGAAAGATGGACTATCCACATAGGAATGTGGGTGAGCAGTATGCTGGCTCTATGCCAGGCACCATGCAAAGCCCTATTGATTGATTATGGATTGATTTAACCAACCTCGTGGTTGTCTGTTCCACAAATATATGTTAAGTTCCTTTCCTGGACCACGCACTGGGCTCCCCAGCCCCATCCACAAGGGAGACTGTCTTTAATCCTGGGCTGCACCATACTGTTGGGCTCGCAGTTATACACACAGGAAAGCAAGACTGGGGGCAGACCTCACAGTGAAGTGGGGAGGCTGGAGGCCACAGACCCCACAGCACTCCTCCTGAAACAGCTGAAGCACAATTGAGTCTCTTCTTCCTGTGACACCTGATTTCCTCATAGATGACTGTCACAGCCAGAGCTACATTGTCCCAAGGACAAGGCCATCTAGGTCCAGTTTCGTGAGCCTGCAAGTGCAGCTTTGTTTGTTCCGGTGGGGGCAGGGGGAGGATGTTGATAAGCATCACCATGATCCATGACTTACCGTTCATTTCCTAATCAGTCATCACATTTTGTTCAAGCTTAATGCTGACCTATCGTATTTAACGCCACATTCCACAGCAAAAAGCTACTGCTGAGATTACTGAGGGAAACCCGCCAGCTCTTGGCCTTGCTGCTGCCTCAAGCAAAAGAAACTTGGATTTTCAGGATATTTTCCCTCTCGTTATCTAGGGGTTTTCACTTTGTTCAAAGACTGTGTCGACCTCCTCTTCCCTCTTTCCCTCTGTGGTGCCGAAACAACCCGAATTACTTACAGCAGAGCTATGTTTCGCAACTACCTCGAACTTCTCTCCAGCCCCTCCCAGCAGTTGCACGCACACGCATGCGCATACACGCATTATGTCATTAGCCAACACAACTTGAGACCTTCGGCCAATCACCTCCCTCTCAGCCTACATTTCATCAACTCTAAAATGGGGAGATTGGACTAGGTCATCCTTTTCTGTTCTGAAATGACACCATTCCAGTTTCGCATGATTCTCAAATGATGGCGTTAGAGTCCTAAATTATCTAAAATGGAAGAAAGGTGTCGAAATAATCCAAGATGCCATCCTCCATCTTCCAACGGTTTTTCCACATCTCCATACCAACTATCCTATTATTTACTCAATTATTTTCCTTTAAGTTGACTTTTTTGCTTAAAGGCCTGTATTTAAAAGGGACAATGTATCACTACCATAATCAGAAAATCATAATCTTTTGTCATAAACAGAATCATAACTAAAGGAAAATAAAGCAAACAGAAAATTCTATCTAGGTACTATCACCCACCCGAAGACACTAGCCGGCTGCTTGCACCTCTGTGTTGAAATGGCAGCATAGCTGGTGTTGAAAGGTGGCTAGAGTAATGCTTCCACAAAAGGTGATTTCTCCTGGCTTTACTCACCATTGACAAGGGCCACAGTTCTCTCCCCAAGGCGTGCTGGTGTAATTTATCAAAAAGGCTGGATGCCATGCCACCCAAGTTCACTCTCACATCCTTCTCTTTGTGTAAAACATCTTCACTGTTGTTCTTTGTTCACTATGATACAGTGTTGGAAAGTGTCCCTGTCTGCATTTGTGACCATCTCCTTCACCTCCAGGTACTGCCAGGCAGCCAGGACAGGGAAGTAGAATACTCAAACATACCCTTACACACAAGCACAAAATACCCCCCCAACAGCTTAAAAAAAATTAAAAAAAACAAACAAACAAACAAAAAAACAAACAAAAAACAGCATACTGCCTTCCCTGGCTCTTCCCCAAGTCCACAGCTCTGGGACTCTCTGACCTTGGGCAGTTCAATGTTGCTGCCTTTTTGAAAGAAATCACTGCCAGTGTACAACCAAGAACAGCTTCCCCTGAACAACTGAGGAGCCTCTGGGCAGTTTGTCCTTTTCCCCTTCCTCTCTTCAGAGACACCAAGAGGAGGAGGAAGAGTGGGACAGAGACTAGAGGGGTAGAGGCAGGAAAGAGCACAGGGGAGGCGCTGCCTTAGTTTATTTAGCATGGTGTAGGGAAAAAACACTTCAGTGTCTCCTCCTTGGATGCAGTCTGGCATCTACTTCCAATTCTATCATTTTGCAGCAACATAAACTTGGGTGAGTTGCTCATCCTCTCAGAGCTATCATCTCGTCCTTTGCAAAATGGCTCCTGTTGTGAAGATGTCCAGAGTTCCATCAGGTACAAGGCCAGCCAGGCAAGAGAAGAACACTCCCCAGAGATACCTTCTCTACCTCTTTTAGCTTTTCTTAACTTTGGCATCATTCATGGAGGTCCAAAATCTGCCCTCTTCATATTTGTTTGTTTGTTTTGCCTCCCAAATCCTGGGTCTCATCTGCAAAGTAAAACAAAGAGAGAGAAAGAGAGAGACAGAGAGAGAGCACGTGCTGTGAATTTTCATAATTTAAGGGTTTCTCCTATGATCTGATTATGGAAAGTGATGTATAGGGGCCCAGTGGAATGACAAGGGAGCAAAGAATGGGGAAGAAAAGACTTTACACCAGCAAGCCCAATAATCAGCCGCTTTTGAATAATCATTAGCAGCCTACTGGAAGCTCCAAGTCCCCAAAAGGTTTTCGGGATGAGAGAGTAACACCATGAATCTAGGAAATGTGGTGCATTTTGTGCATAGATTTGAATTAGAATTCTTGGTTGGTTTTGCCTCTGAAGTTGGGGAGGTAGGCGAAGGCACAAAGAAAAACAGAAAAACACTTCCCCCTGCTGGCGAGAAGGTAAATAGCAGCATAGATGTAAAAAATTTCCATGAGTGTGGATGTAAAAAATTTCCACTCATGCCCTAAATGTTTGCAAAGGATTCACTACGTGCATTTGAATTTAAATTTTATGGAATCCATTTTCCCATCTGAAGCGACCTTCAAAGGTTGTAGAAGTGATCAAAGAACAGGGGCCTGTTTTCCAATGATTATGTTCTTCACAGGACATTACTTCTTTTCTTGAACAGGAAATACATTAATATGATTTTAAAATCAAAACAATATAAAAATGATATGTTGAAAAATGTCACCCCTGTTTCTGCCTTCTTTGCCCATACTTCAGATGCTTTTATTATATTTTTTATGTAAATATAAACATAGGTGGCTATATAATCTTTTTCCCTTCTTTCTCATACAGTAGGTAGCTACTCAACACTGTTCTGTATATTGTTTTTGTCACTGATATGTCTCAGAGATGTTTCCATTTCAGGACACTGTAAGCTTCCTCATTCTTTCTTCACCGAGCATCTTAAATACAGAAGAAAAAAAAAAAAAATACACTGCCAGTTGGGAAACCATATACATTGGTTGACTTAATTGCAAAATGTGAATGATTTAAAATTTTTAGCATAGAAATGACCTTCCGCCCACATGACCCACAGACAAGCACTGTCCATGACCCTTTGTAATAAACTTGTCTCCTGCTTAGATTTTTGTTCCGGTCCTCCTGTGAATTAGCATCTCTGCCGTGGTACCCACCGCGTTCTGTGCCAGAACAGAGCTTTGTCACCACTGAACTTTACAAGCTGGCGCTCAGAACTAAAACAGCTTCATGCCACCGAGATTTCTATTAAAAACCCAGGGTGAAGAAAAAAGCCTTTCGCTTCAGCTGAAATGCTCTCGTAAAGGGCAAAACGGAAAATACAAACACCGCTGCCTTTTTGCTGGTTGGTTACCACAGCCCTCAGCACCTCCCAAGCGTGGCAGTGGGAGCCAGGTTTGGCTTATTTGAAACAGTTAGAAAATGGTGCTTCCAGTGCAGACAGCAAGTCAGTGAGATTGTCAAGGTCAAAGAAAAACCCAATTATCTATAACAAACACTGACCGTACAATTAAATTATACCAGTCAGAAAAATGTTTGATCCTCTACAACTGGCTTTTCCAGAAAATTCACCCTCAAAGCAGTCTGCACCATTGGTTAGCATCCAGCTGACCAATTTCCTTTTGTCAGCCAACATACTGCAACATGTCACTAGTCAATACGTCAGTGCCCACTCACGTTTCCGGGGTCCACCCTAGCAGTCACCCACAGCTTCAGTGCGAGCACACAGATATCTTACCATCAAGGAATTGCTTCTCTCTACCCAAGGGCTTTTCTGGCTACAGAAGTACGCTCTGGACAGTCCAGGCATGCAAGGCAGGACAGAAGTGCCAGGACATGAAGTTCCCCATAGAGCAATGTGGGATGAAAACTGGTAGATACATACCATAAATAGTCAGCCTCCTTCCCTCTTGCTGGAGTGATGCTGAAGGGTGTTGTACCCAGACTTTCGGGGGACACAAGTGCAAATGAGCCCCAAATGCTCACAGTAGTGAGCCACTCATTGACACGTTCTATGTTGGCTTTTTTCCTTCTCCACTCTCTTGTATTCTTCCTGGGATCCCCCCCCCCCCAATGACAATCTGGGTCCAATCAGGAGATAGAAAATACACAGTAACCCACACAAAGAAAGTTGAGTACAAAGAACCATTAACTGTGCTAGAGGAACCGTAAGATACAAAGAGACTCTGTAAGGCACCCTATGGCTTCAGATGAGTACCCATGGAAGAACCAGCCTTGGGAGGGATCCAGACATCTTTGGAGAAGGTGTGGCTCTGCCCACCAGGGAGCCAAGAAGTCTGCTGCTATGGCCAGGCTAGGGCTAGTCCAGAAGTGCTTGTGAGGCCACACTCCAAAGAGCAAGTGAGAAAGCCAACAACTAGAAACTGATCTTAGGGTGTAGAGTCAGGGAGTCCTTCAGAGACTGTGCTGCAGCCTCTGGTTTCCATGTTGAAGGGGCTACACGAAAGTTATGACCACCTTTGCAGAGACTGCAAAGTTGCCAAAGGGCCATGTTTTGGCCTGTGGCTGAGGGAGGCCCCACTGGTGCTCTCACACCCTTAGCTGAGCTTCATCTGGTCCAGAAATGATAGGAGACCTTCCTCTTTATTACTATTAATAATAATAATAATAATCTTATTATAACAAAAGACAGAGTCTCTGAAAGACTCCCTGACTCTACACCCTAAGATCAGTTTCTAGTTGTCGGCTTTCTCACTTGCTCTTTGGAGTGTGGCCTCACAAGTACCTCTGGACCAGCCCTAGCCTGGCCATAGGCCATATCTACTGAAGTTAAATAGTCACCAAACCTGTGGTCTAGTAATTCCACTAGCAAGTATAGACTGAAAAGAATAAGAGTATATATTCACCCAAAGATACTACAAGAATGTTGACAGCAGCTTTACTCACAATAAGGAAAAACATCAAACAATCCAAATGTCCCCCAAGAAGAGATTAGATAAATAAATTGTGATGTATTCATAACAATGGATAAAAAAGACAAAGTACTAATATGACATGATAAATCTCACAGACATTATGATGAACAAAGAAGGAAGTCTCAAAAGCAAAATTACTATAAAATGCCATTCTTGTGAAGTTAAAGAACAGTGAAAATTAATCATTGAGGCTAAGTGTCAGAACAGTGGTTATCTCTAGGTGAAGAGGTTACTGACTGAGAAAGCACACGAGGGAACTTTCTAGAATGGTGACAAAGTTCTGTATCTTAATCTCACTGATAGTTATACAGGTGTATTCAAATTACCCAGGTATATTTAAAAAGTCCACAAGCTGAACACTTAAAATTAGTGCACTTTGACAAACCTTGAAGTTCTTAATTTTACCTCAGTTTTTTTTTAAGATTTTATTTATTTATTTGACAGAGAAAGATCACAAGTAGGCAGAGAGGCAGGCAGAGAGAGAAACAGACAGAGAGAGAGAGAGACAGGCTCCCTGCTGAGCAGAAAGCCTGATGTGGGGCTCAATCCCAGGACCCTGAGACCATGACCTGAGCCGAAGGCAGAAGCTTAACCCACTGAGCCACCCAGGCGACCCTCAGTTTTGTTTTGTTTTTTTTAAGGACTTTATTTGAACACCCCAGTTTAACAAATTAGTAACTGAAAATAAAAGGCCTTCGGAATCAGAGTTCTGGGTTCAAGTCTCATTTCCACCACTTCCTACCTTGTGAGAACTTGAGAAATCTACTTAGCCTGTCTGAGCATCAATTTCCTCATTTACAGAATGAGCATAATAACTCAGTTGTCTCCAGTCTGAAGACAGGATTCTACACATAACACGTGAAAAAGCACCTAATACTTACCAACTATTGTGTTCAATAGCTCTTCATTCCTTCTCCAGGAATTTCACAGTCCCTTAACTTTGACTTCCCCAAAGCATGGTTTGTGTCTGTGATGGCAAACGTGGGATGGGCTCGTCCCCCACTGTCCATTCCCACACCTGAGGATAGGGTAATCAGTGGCGCTCCTCTTCCTTGCTGACCCCTAAAGCCATCTCCCGAGGTGTTCCCTGAAGCTGCACATTCCATGAGGGCTGGCACATGAAATAAAACCTATGTCCCATCCTGACCCAGGTTATATTCATCTTTGCCTTGTCTGTAGCGTCTAGTACAAAGACTTGTCGAGGTTGTGAAAAACGATAAAAGAACTGATATTTATTTAGCATCTAAAGCTCAACAAACTCAGCCCAGGGTCATACATACAGAGATGGTACCTCTTAAATCTTCACAAAAATCTTGTGAGAGAAACATAATTCTTGTTGAGTAGTCAAAGAAAATGATGTTCAGTCTTACTGAAGTAAGAAGCACCAATTCACAGATCACAGGTGGCTAAGGCAGGTATAAATCCAGGTCAGTCTGTCCCAACACCCAAGGTCTGTCCACCATGGCATGCCACACTCCATCAGCTATGGAAAACCAATGCATGCCTAACATTAGACAACAGACAATTATGGATGAATCATTCAGAATCGAGAACAAGGAAAATAGACATGCATGCTGCCATTAAGAGTGAGTTAAAAATAGAACATAGGAAATGATTTCATGCCAAGAAGTAAATAAAAATAAGTGAGCCCTGATGGTTACAAAGGAGCAACACAGAATCACCAGTCTGCCACAGTAATAATTTATTGGCTGCTAATTCTGCAGATTTGCTTTTTCAAACATGAACACATGAGGTATTCTGCCAATGGAGCAGAGAGCCCCTTGGCTAATCCCAGCTGAAGGTCAGCTTCACAATCTCTGCAGAGCCCTGCCTATTTTTCTTGCTTTCAGTTTGGTCTGCTTTCCTGCCATTCCATGTACCTCATCAGAGATCAGAGATGGGAAAAACAGAGCTGGCCTCTGACAAAACAGAGCTCTTTGCTGGGGAAGACTGAGAAGACCCAGTGTGCACAGGCCCTGTGCCATTTTGAATCTGGAAATACACATTGTAATGCCTTCTCTCCTGGGGAAGCAGAGGAAACAGGAGAAAAGACAGGGTGGGGTAAGAATGCCAGACTGTTAGA